GGGTTCGAAAGGGGTGCAAAGCACATGAGGGGCCACAAAAGAGGCACCGAGAGGGGTGCGGGTAGTAGGTTGGACAGAGGCCCTGATAGTAATGTTGATAGGGGCGTTCAGAGGGGAGCTGAGAAGGGGGGTGGAGAGGGGGGTGGAGAGGGGAGGTGAGAGGATTTGGTATGATGCTAGGGGTCCTGGGAGCCAGATGTACCGGCTTGGGCGAGATATGGATGTGGGGGAGAGAAGGGAGGGGGGGTAATGAGGAGCAAGAGGGTGCGAGGAGAGGAGAGGAGATGTGGGGTGAGGAGGCCGAAAGAGAGTTTCGAGAGAGGGAAGAGAGGGAGCACAGGGAGAGGGAGGAAGGGGTTTACAGGGAGAGATGCGAGGGAGATTACAGGGAGAGGGTTGAGATAGAGGAGGGTAGGTTTTCAGCCCAAGCAGCAGCAGTAGCAGGAAAAGCAGGGTTTGCATCAGGTGCACCAGCAGCCCACACTCATTCATTTGCCAGCCCGGAGATGCACTTGCTTTCCCCCCATGCTCTCCCTTCTCCTTCCCCTCTTCTTCCTCCTTCCTCGTTCCCTGTCTTTCTCGACTTAACCCCAGGGCCGCACCCCCCCATGTTCATCAACTAGCAGTTGACCCCCATCCCCATCTTGTTTGGCCACCCCTTAGCCCATCATCCAATCATGCAGGGGAGCGCGCTGCCGGCGGTTCCTCCTGGGTTCGGGCTGGATGAAGATGGTGCTACGAGGCAGCAGGATGTGGGTGTGGCCTGGAGGTCTCAGTACAGGTGGGTTCAGTGTGGGTGGGTTCAGTGCAGGTGGGTTCAGTGCGGGTGGGTTCAGTGCAGGTGGGTTCAGTGCGGGTGGATTCAGTGCGGGTGGGTTCAGAGTGGGTGGGTTCATTGCGGGTGGGTTCAGTGGGGTGCCTGAACGGCCGCTGCTGGCTGTTTCTCTCCTGGGTTTGGGCTACGAGGCAGCAGGAGGTGAGTGCGCAGCTCAGGGTGGGAAGGTGCGTGAAGGGGAGTAGGAGGGGAGTGCAGGCCTGAGTGTCGGTTTGTGGGTTCTGTACAGTTGGGTGTGAAGGGCCGCTGCCTGGCCAGGAAGGCAGGAGGAGGTGAGTGCAGTAGGAGGTGAGTGCAGGAGGAGGAGAGTGCAGGTGCCAAGGGTGTGCCAGCAGCTGATTCTAGGCAGCTCAAAGGTGGACTTTGATCGCGTTCTTGAGATATTCCGAAACAAGAAATGCAACGGCGGCAAAGTGAGCCAAGGCCAGCAAAGGTGGCTTTTGAGTCAACTCCATGTTCATTTTAGATAAGCCAAGGCAAGCTTTTTATGTCGATTCAAATGCAGAAATGCAGTGGTGGCGAAGTGAGCCAAGCCAAGGCCAGAGAAGATGACTTCAGAGTGGACTCTAAAAAATTGAGACGAGCAAGGCCGAGAAAAAGTCACCTCGAGAAAAGCCACCTCGAGAAAAGCCACCCCATGAATAGCCAGCCCAAGGAAAGGAACGTTGAGAAAAAGCCTCCTTAAGAAGCGCCAGCCCGAGACAAGCTACGCCAAGGAAAGTCGCCCCGAGAAAAGCCACCCCCAAAAAAACTATCATGAGAAAAGCCACCTCAAGAATACTCGCTTTGAGAATGCAACGGCGGAGTGAGCAAGGCCAACTGTTGGCAGCTGCCTTGGATGAGTATCTGCTGTGGGAGTGATGCTCTACTGATCGAGCTTAATGCGTTCTATTCCGTCTACCCACCAATGCGGTGATGATTGCAATCGGTATCTAACATATTACTCACAACATGTTTTCAACTACTGACTGGGAAAGGCATGTCAGTTGGGTGGGATTACGATCAGCACCGTCCACATTCGACTCGGGAAAATGGTGGAAGATACGCAACCTTTTTCCAAAAAAAAAAAAGAGTGAAGTGCGATTGTGATGCGGCTTCAGAGTCGACTCATAAGCCACGCTTGCAATTTTGATGTTATGTGGTCACATCCGCTCACAACAAGCAGTGGAAATGTTATGCGAACCGTCAAAGGCCAGTTTCTGAGAATTCTAAAATCCCAGCTTGACTCAAAGACCACATCTATGTTTTTTACGTTGTGTGGTGGCTCGCATCCGCCCTCACCAACCAGTGGAAAATATTATGCGAGCCGCCACAAGCCAGTTCTGAGGAATTCTTACAACCAGACCTACTCAAAAGCGATGCGCTTTCGATGTTATGTCTTGGAAAATATGGCGTTGACCTGGTAACAAACAGTCCGGTGAGAGCCCCAATAGATGTGAGGTTCAGCAGCAGCCATGCACTGCTGGTGTGTTTTGAGTCGACTCAGAATATACTTTTGAGTGGACTCAAAACACAACTGGAAAATATGGCGTCGACCTGCCAACAAACAGTTTGGTGAGAGCCCCAGCAGATGTGAAGTTGCAAGCCCTCGGTATGGTGAGAGCCCAACAAGCAACATAAGCAGGGCAGTCATACGCTGCTGATTTGATGTTCGTCGGGTAGCTTTTTGGGTCGACTCAAAGTTCATCTCGGGTGCGGGGATGAGCAGTTAAACGCAGTTGATTTGGTGTTTGCTATGCATTTCTTCCCTCATGTTGTGTGTGCTTATACTCCCGTGCCATTTCTTTGTCCCTGTTTGCCATCCATCCATCACTATTGGAACTATTACAGCACCTCTCGCAGCGGGGATTATACCCTAGTTGCATGGGGCCTGTTGTATTTGTTAGTGGCTCGGGGTGCATTTTAGAGTAGCAAACGAAGCGGAGAATTTCCTACGCAATGCAAAGAGGTTGGAGGCAGGAGCAAACGCAACAATAACAAGATAATCAACAGCAGCAGCAGCAGCAGCAGCAGCAGGGGAGGCAGAGACAGGTAGCAATATGATCTCACCAGCCCCAGGCATGCAGCCGCACTCAGCAGTAGCAACTTGTTCATCCGCTAACGACTCGGCGACGGACAGGAGGGACGATCTGGAGAGCTTCCTTAGGAACACAGGCAGGCTTGAGGCACAGTTCGCATCGCCCCCTCCTCGTGCTGCCATGGGTGGTGGCGACGACATGCATGCGGACATGTTCGGTGACATGTGCAGTAAAATGCGCGGTAACATGCGTGGGCCTCAAAGGGAAGGTGCTGCTGGCAACATGAGGAGTGCTGCCATGGGGCCAACGGGGCCTGTGATCCCCGTGCAAATCCCAACCTTCAATCCTCATGGGCCCCCAACGACTCATGGGCATCCGTGGGGCGATTCCTCGAGGCTTTGTGGATGAAACCCCCTTTTTGAACCAGCAATTCGGAATAAGACCTCCTCATTTGCAGCAGCAGACGCTGCAACAGCATCTGCAGCACCAGCAGCCGATGGAGCCCCACACGAACATTGCCCCGGTGACCATGCGAATGGTGGGCGAGCACCGCATCATGGTCATCGCATATTCGCTTGCACCCACGCCGATGGACCCCCAACGGCCTATGGGCCCTCCCCCTCCCAGCATGTCACCCGATTTGCGTGGTGGCCAACCTTCGTTCTTCGTCCAAGAATAACAACAAAGTCCACTACAACGTATGGGTCAAGGCATCCAGATTGATGGAATGCGCACACAGTGGTTCCTCGGTCCCCGGCACTGGACAGTCCGCCTGACACTCAACTTCCACGTGGTGAAATGTTTCATCCTCAGGGCTCAAGAGGAGACATTTTCCCTGCTCAAGGAGGACCACAAGGCCCTCTTCCTCCGCATGTCTCCCTGTTTGACCCGCTAACATTTCCTCATCAACAGGCGCACAGGGGCCCTTTCCTTGGCTTTCCCCTTAATGGTCGAGAAATGGAGGACCTTCCGCCTTTTGTCATTCGAGGCCCGTTTGAATGTGATGGTGGGCCGAATACTGGGGGATGGCTGGATGAGTGATGCAGCTGCTCATCTTCGAACTATGATGGTATTTGTGATGCACAATAATGTCTGCTTGCTCCTTTTCTGTGTTTACAAATGCCTTGAGTCATTGATGACACTGAGAAAGGCTTAGCTTGTGTCGACAAATGAAAGTGCAGTGGCATTTGAGATTACCTTTACGTGGTTACTTTCTTCTAGGTTAATATTGATTTTTTTGAACATTTGTGTGTTTCGCACAATCAACATTTCTAGTTAAAATGTTTTAATTCTACGAAATGGGTAACATGCGAAGTGTAGTGTAGTGTTGTCTCTTGGTATAGAGCTGCTAGTGCAATTAATTGTGGACCCCGCCAGTGCTGCTACCCCATGAGCAATGTGCAGGCAGGAGGATCCGTTGCATAGCAATGGTCTCCAATAGCCCAATAGACTCCCCTGTTTCACTCTAAAATCTATGAAATCTCCTTTTCGTATCGGATACCGTTTCATCTCAGGACGCATTACATTGCATTCGTTTTGCAAGATCGCTTGTCTTTTTCCTGATTTCAACATTCTTTCCGAAATCGATTCCGACATTCAAAACTGATATTCGTATTCGATTTTGTACCCGCTAAAAGCAGGTAACAGATGTGCAATTTTCGATCCTCGATATCATTTTGCTGCCCTGCAAATGCTTGTCTCGCCAACAAAATTCGCCAAAACAAGGCAACCAACCAACTATTTCGTAAAAACATTCCAACAATTCATTTTCATGTTTTTGGTTTCGCTTCGCGAATTCACGAAGCTCTGTAGATTTTGTGACTGTTTGGGGTGGGCGATTTGGTACTTTGGCACGCAAATCGACCGGGTGTCTGATGTAAAACCGTTTTGGCGCGATTGTCGTGAAAGTGATCTTGTGAGACAATCTTGGTACCTGTCCCTTTCGAGGGCTTTGTAGCAGTGTGGTAACCCGCTTTATACAGTGTGAGGATCGCGAAATGATTGTCAAACCAGACGCAATGTACCGCGTCCTCACAGCACAGAACACAATGTACATCGAACCGATGTGCACCAGAACCATAAACGTAGTCATCCGTCCCCAACACATCATGATGCTTCTTTAGTTCCTTTCCTGCACTGCATGCCTGGATGGTCTCCGCCTTTGCTCGGAAAAGTCAATTGTCCCACGATGACTCCTTGCCTAGTGCTGCATTATTGGGTTTCCCAATCTTAGCTTGAAGCACCGGTCGAGTCTCACCATCGCGTCGTGTCACAACTGGCGCAGCACTCACCGTGACTTACGCAACGCAGCCCGCAGCTCTCCAATAAAAAAATTGCTGCCATTATTGGGTTTACGGAACCCAATAACTCAGTTCGGAACTTCCCCTGGGGGAACGACCAGATCGGCGAATTCTGATTCAACGCCATGGCCATTCCAGATGGTGTGGTCGGCATTCTTATTGGATAGTTTGGGATTATCGGGGCGCGCTAGACGCAACTCTGAGTCGATATTTCGTGGCGAGTCGCTCGCACGCGTCACTCCTGCTCCACCAACAACCTTGACGGCTCGTGTTTCCAGTTCGAGTCCATCCCCATCTTCCAAAGAGTCCCCATCTTCCATCGTTACTATTAATAATGAGGGTGCTTCGAGTACCTAGCAACCATCATCAAGCGGTAATCCACCTTCCACTCTACTGGCAACCAACCAGCTCGCTTCACCTTGCAGTCCGAGTCTTCTTCTTGTGGACTCCAATTCCGAATCATCATGGCCTTCACTTTGGCTCTCCGCGTCTTACTCTTCGGTAAGCGTTACCCCCGCAACTTCAATGTCACTTTGTTTTAGACTCCGAGTCTTCATCTTTCTACCCACCTGCTACCTACTAACCCATGCCAAACGCCGTGCTCAATATCGCGCTTCTATTGTTCGAGATTGCATGATGAGTCGTGCACGCAGCTCACATTTCATGACGACACATCCTCAGACTTACGCCGCATGTGACATGCTCTGTAACATGGTAACCTGATTACGATCGCCTGGCTTCCATCGCATGTGTTTTCGCGCAGCGTTCCTTGCGGCTCTGGTGGCCGTTGCCTACTCCTCAGACAACGACAACACAAAATCAGCAGGTCAGGGCTCCATGCTTTCCCCTCGTGATCCTTCTCCCTTCGTTCTTCGTTTCCGTGGAGTAAAACAACTCCAAAAGTGATTCTCACTCGACAAAAATCTCGCTCAATCTCCTCTTTTCGAATCCCCACTCATTGATATGTCATCGACTAGCCCTTCCCCCTTGTCTCACCTCAACAGAAAGCCGCACCTTTACCTCCAAGCTGATTGGAGCTAACGAGGTTCCCAAGGATGACTCTGAAGCTGTTAAGAAGGCCGTCGGCGACAAAACCGGCGTGGTGGACATGAAACTGAAAATCTATAGGTAAATTTTGTCGGGTTCTAAGTCTGTGAACTTTTGCTTCCCCCCCTTGTCTCAGCTCAACAGAAAGCCTAAGTCTGTGTACACCAGACTCAATTGAATACACTTAAAAGTGAGTCTGTGAACTTTTGTACTCCGAATATTTTCGTATGACGTTCTAAACCCCGTTCTAATCTCTTCGACTCTCTTGTCACCACAGATGACCAGGGAGGACGGCAAGCCCAGGTGGGTGGAGTTCACAGTGCAGGATTCCAACATGGAAGGCGAGATGCCGCCGACCAAGACGCACGTGCACCCGGGGAGGAAGGGGGAGAACAACCCCGTGCTGCTGGATCTGACTGACGAGTGCCAGTACGAGAAGACAGGCGACGAGGAGTGGCGCTGCAAGGGGACGCTCGGGAAGGATTCGAAGGATAAGGTGCTGGAGTGGAAACTACGGGAATATTCACACTAAGAAGTATCCTGATGGCGCGGTGCGCAGGGTTCCTGCTAAGGTTTAGGGTTGTCTGAGAATCAGACAGGGTTTCAAAATTTCGTCTGACCATCAGACGAGCTACCTGGGCTGGTTTGGTTTTTCAGAAGAATTGTCCAGCATCATCTGAGCTTCCAGACGAAAAAAGAAAAGAAAAAAATCACAATAAACTACAATACTGGGGTGATGACGCGCCATGCAGCAAAAATATTCCGCGGGTGGCAGGATTGAGGCCCGATGACACACATGGCTGAGTGGTCAGAATGGCATGGACAGGTTACGAGGTGGGCGCAATGTATCGCCCACCAGAGTGGGAGGAGAGTGGGTGAACTGTTGAGATCGTTATCGTAAGATACTTTTCAATTCTGTGTTGCGATTGTCTTTGCCAGCAACATTCTCGCCAGTTCGGAGCGATTTTGTTTGGCTACACAGGAGAATGGCTTCCTGTGCTGGTGCCTAGACTTCGCGACCAATGAGACTCCGTTCTTACAAAAATATTGTCGCACCCACTTCTCTCGAAACTAGAATTGAATGATGATAGATGTTGGAAATATCTCAAGGACTTAAGCGTTTCTGAAGTGTAACACTGTACTCGAGGAAGATTACAGGGGAGCACGCGAGTCAACGGAGGTTACACGAGGGGGCGGACAAAGAATGCGAAAGGACTCGAAAGGTCGCAACTGGAGGTTGCGACTGACCGTTACAACATCACGGATGGTAACCGAAGCGGCAATCGAGTCGCTGTGCGACTCGATAAACCGTTCCTGTAACTGTATTCTACAACTGCTTTCTTATCTTCTATATATTGCTGTATGCTTGTTTCTTTAATCAATCACTTGTTCTCACATACTAGTACAAGGGTTCAACTGCCTCAACTTCCGCTGCACTACTCCAAGTCTCAAGTCTCTACAAGCTGGGACTTAGTCTCTGCAAAAGATCCTAAGGGCTTTTTCTCAGCCCAACATGGTATGAGAGCTGGTCAGAGACCAAAACTCCCAGCAACTACACTCCATCAACAACCAGCAACTCAACTTGATTCAACAACTCCATTGATTACAAGACATGGACAACAAGGGCAAGAAAGTCTCTACGGGCTCACCCAGCGCCCAAGAAACTCAACACGGCAACTCTGGTCTGCACACCTCAGGACTGCAGACAGACACCGGGACTGCTCAAGAAACAACGGGAAGAGTACCAGAGATGGTGACCCGTCTCCATCTTCAAGTGTGGACCCGAATCTCATGGAGAGATTCTTCAGCTTCATGTCACACTTCGATCAGCAAGCAGCAGACAAGGACACCTGCGCACTCAACACAGAGCAATGGAGGAATATGGGATTAGCGCCGATGAGCCTCGACAACTCATCCTTCGGGCGACACAATCAAGCGCCTACCTTTGCGCCTTATCACTCTTCACCGGGGACGTTCGAGTTCATGCCGCCCCGTGCCCAACCAACAGCAGCTGCATCACAACAAACACCAAACGAGATTTTAAGTCTCCAGGCACAGTTTCACACGTGATTAAACTGCAGACATCATCACCGTTCAACGGACACGACTTCTTTACCTGGAGCTTCGAGTTCGAGCTGCTGATGGAGGCCGCGCATCTTCTGGGATACTTCAACGGGTCCCTGCCATTCCCAAGCAACGGCACTGGGAAGGAACAAGAGATCTTCACGTATCAGTCGCTGCTGGCGTACACGGTACTCCTGAGAAACCTGTCACCACAAGAGCAGCAGAGCATCAGAACGTATCGGAGTTATGGAAACTCCGCGGAGCTCGCATGGCACCACCTCAAGTGCCTTTACCAAGCAAACGACAGCGTGACACAAAGCAGACTCATGCAACAGCTGACAACAATACAGATGAAGACCGGGGAAAAGGCGATGCAGTATATGAGTCGCTGCCAGACCCTCCGCGACCGCCTGCTTCGGTGCGGAGGAACGATCACTGAAGAAAGCTTCGTGACACTTGTCCTCGCCGGGCTCGGCCAGAATGGAGAACCACACGATCGCTTCTTCGCGCCCACGGAAGGATCTCGGAGATGCACCTCTGCGCCGAGCTTCACGCTGAACAACAGGAGATGGATCTGTTCGAGGAAAGACAACCAAGGAGGCAACAGCAGTTAGTCTTCTACACTCAAAGAAGAAATGACATAAACTACAACCGACGCAGCAAGCAAGATCAACGCGACAACCGAGGACTCACCATCGTGCCGCCGTTCTGCCACAACTGCCAGACTTCCGGACACTCCAAAGTCAACTGCAACCGCCCTCGCGTTTACCGTGCAGCAGACCCACAAGTTGCTTCCACTCAAGCAAGTTCCCCAAGGCGCTCTTCAACATCTGCACAAGGGACACCAAATATCATCAACTGCATGGTACACATCGACAACTGCGCACCCGGATCACCACCCACTTACGCACCAGACGAAGAGGAATTCCCGCCGCCGCGCTCACAAGGACTTCAGGTCAACCCGACATACGCTGCGGTCGCCAACGCCGAACCCACCGGGCGAAACACCTGGTTCTTGGACAGCTGCTGCGGTCAACACATGTGCTCCTCGGGACGCTTCGTGCAACAGGAGAAACGCCTCAACCGCGACGTCATCATCACCGTCGCCAACAACGAAAACCTGAAAACAAACAGACAGGGCGTGGTTCAGTTACAATCCATGGAGACGAATGTCATACTTCAACTCAACAAGGTGCTCATTGTCGACAATCTGGGATACAACCTACTAAGCGTAAGCCAACTAATGGCCAAGGGGATTCACCTGGAGTGCGACTCTTACTCCAACGAGTTCCGGCTTTACCACGGGAAGGGCGGCCTCTTCATCGGTCGTGCCCTCCTGAAGTCCGGCGTCTTCGTGTTGGACTTCGTCCCCGACCGCGGAACTGCCGACAGCGATGGCATCGTATCGTTCGCCGCCTGGACTCACCCGCCGGATCTTGACCCCGACTTCGACAGTGACGGCTTCTGGCACTCCAACACCATACCTGCAGCAGAGAGAACACGAGCATTAGCAGTTATCAGACAAGAAAGACAAGTACCCGCAAGTGTCCCAACAAAACCATCACCTGCAGTATCGGCAGCAGGACCCAGCCGAGTACCACCACCATCAACACGAGGACCGCCAACGGAAGCAGACCAACTTATGCCCGCCACACGAGAAGCTTGTCGAAGTCCCGCCTCAGTCGTCGCGTTCTTCTCCAACGCCGACATCTACCACCGCTCGCCCGGCCACCGCGCTCCCGACGACATCTGGCACCAACGTCTCGGACATCCTGCAAACAGCACGATACTTCAAACAATCCAAGCAGAGGTGTTAGAACGCGACGCCCTTCTGACGACGAACGGCCAGGAACTCCGACGACCACGCGCACGGTGCTTCACATGCCCCGAAGCAGATCTTCCTCATCAACCTTTCCCAGCCCATCACAATCCAAGCGCACCCACTTACGCTCCGATGGAAAAGGTCTACAGCGATATTCTAAACATGCCTCGAGACGACACCGAAGCCGACTTCAACTACGTCATCACGTTCATCGACGCAGCAACCAGATACGTCTGGCACTTCAATCTCAAAACGCGCGATCAAGCCTTCGAGGCCTTCACCACATGGCTTCCAATCGCCGAACGAGAGTCAGGAACCAAACTCAAGAGTTTCCAGACAGACGGTGCACTGGAATACCAGTCACAACGCTTCAGGACCTATCTCGCGGAAAGGGGAATCCGACGCCTGGTGTCTCTGCCCTATGCTCACCAGCAGCAGGGGGTAGCAGAACGCATGAACCGGACCTTGCAGACGACGATGCGAAAACTGCTTCTGGGGATGAGGCTGCCCAACGCACTGTGGCCAGACGCGATGACACATGCTGTTCACCTGCACAACCTGCTGTCCTCGTCATCACTTCCCAACAACGCATCGCCGCACCTGTTGTGGACAAGAAAAAGGGGCAGCACAAAATTACTCCGCGTTTTCGGCTGCATGGTACAGTACAGACCCCACACAGCCCGAGCAGGACGCTTCTCACAAAGAGCTCGATGGGGACTACACCTCGGCATCGCAAAACATTTTCACGCGTGGAAAATTCTCGACATACAAGACAAAAACACGGTGGCATCACGCGATGTTATCTTCTACGAACGACTGACGCTGCAGCATTACCTGGACAACCTTGCCAACACACAAGACCCCACCGACGGCTTCGCGGGCCTTCGCTCCTTCGCTGACCACACTGCCGAGGCTGACGCAGCAGAAGAAGACGTACCTGGAGCCTCGGAAGCTGCCGGACCACTCCCATTCTGTTCCGTACCTGTTCCACTCGATGAAGATAATCCCCTCGATAGCAACAACCTCGACACCTTTTACCACTTCGCCGACCAAGGTTACGCTACACCTCACCCCGTCGACACGAATATTTCGGAACGCATCGGCCCCAATTTCTTACCTGACCCCGAAGACGGTGATGAAGCAGCTTATTCCGGGAATGAAAATTCCCCTCGACACACGCCCACGGGACTCCAGATTCTAGGCCTCTGGGTCTCCGTCCAGAATCCGCCGCCGCCTTCTCCGCGAGAGCCTTCAACGTTGTCGCAGGCTCTGGGGGGGGAACATAAGGCAAGATGGAAGGAAGCAATGGAAAAGGAGTTAAAAGCTCTGCAAGACCGAGAAACATGGAAACTGGTACCTGCAACGAGCATCAACGGAAAAAACGTTCTCTCGGGGAAATGGGTGTACCGCATCAAGACCAACTCAGACGGTTCCATCGAACGATTCAAAGCTCGATGGGTCGTACGAGGCTTCGACCAACGATACGGAGCCGACTACACAGAAACCTTCGCTCCAGTCTCCCGTCACACCTCATTACGCATCCTACTCGCCGTCGCGGCCACGAAAAAACTGCCACTACGCCAAATCGATGTCGCGAATGCATTCCTATACGCACCTGTGGACGCTGAGATCTTCGTCGAACAACCCCACGGATTCATCAACGATCCCACGAAAATATGCCGACTGACAAAATCCCTATACGGGATCAAGCAAGCCCCGCGGCTCTGGCAGCAGCATCTCCACGGCCGTCTCGCAAAGATCGGCTTCCTACAATTACCACATGACCAAGGGATGTACCGACTGCAGAAGGGAAGAGATTATGTTCTGCTCATCGTCTACGTCGACGACCTGCTCTACATCGGCTCCACTATCGACATCGCCACCTGGTTCGAAGGGGAGCTGAAAGAAGATTTAACTCTCACGGTGTCCGACGAAGTTACCCAGTACCTAGGACTGAACATCGTCGAAGACGACACGGCGTTCTACCTACACGCTGGAAAGTACTCAAGCACCGTCGCGAAGAAATTCGGTCTAGCACCGACTGCGGTCCCAACTCCCTACCGCTACGGGAACAACAGTAGCGCCTCCACAAAACTCCCCGCGAAACAAATCCAGGAGTATCAACAGAAGCTCGGCTGCCTACTATTCGCAGCAGTAACCTGCCGACCCGACCTATCCTATAGTGCGAGTCAGCTGGCGACACATCTGAAGCAGCCGCAACAGGAAGATCTCGAAGAACTCAATCGAGCGCTACTCTACTTCGTCTCCACGCCGACGATCGGGCTCACCTACAGCAAGGCAACAACACCGTCCGTACAACTACTCGGATACGTCGACGCCGACCACGCGGGAGACAGCGAAAATCGACGGTCTAGGACGGGCTACATCTACCGACTAGAACCTATCGGAACTATCTCCTGGCAGTCGAGCAAGCAGGAGTTAATCGCACTATCCTCGGCTGAAGCAGAGTATATCGCCCTTTGTACTGCGACCAAGGAAGGACTCTACCTACGAGAGTTACTCGAAGAAGCGAAGATCGCGACCCTGCCCGCCTTCTCACTCCTCTGCGACAACCAATCTGCAATCAAAATCGCGAACAAGGACGGCTTCGCCAACCGAACCAAGCACATCGCCCTGCGGTACTTCTTCGTCAAGGATGAAATCGCGAAGGGGAGACTTCAACTCAGTTACTGCCCGACGACAGAAATGGCCGCAGATTATCTGACGAAGAAATTGGCGAAAGCAAAATTCGACTACTGCATGCTCCTAACCGGGCAAACAAACGTCACCGGATCTGAACACTCTAGCACTCCAGAAACGAAGGGGAGTGTTGGAAATATCTCAAGGACTTAAGCGTTTCTGAAGTGTAACACTGTACTCGAGGAAGATTACAGGGGAGCACGCGAGTCAACGGAGGTTACACGAGGGGGCGGACAAAGAATGCGAAAGGACTCGAAAGGTCGCAACTGGAGGTTGCGACTGACCGTTACAACATCACGGATGGTAACCGAAGCGGCAATCGAGTCGCTGTGCGACTCGATAAACCGCTCCTGTAACTGTATTCTACAACTGCTTTCTTATCTTCTATATATTGCTGTATGCTTGTCTCTTTAATCAATCACTTGTTCTCACATACTAGTACAAGGGTTCAACCGTCTCAACTTCCGCTGCACTACTCAAAGTCTCAAGTCTCTACAGCTGGGACTTAGTCTCTGCAAAGATCCTAAGGGCTTTTCTCAGCCCAACAGCTTCATGCTGTTGAGCTAGCCAGCTAGGTGCTTCTGTGTCTGCTGCCTCTTCATGCGGATTCCTTGTCCAATTATATCAATATAAGGTCCTGTAGCAGTTTTCGTTTGCCAAATGACCCCAAAGGGTGTGTTTTTGTGGAGCCAGCCAGTGTATGTTGTGCTGTGTTGGCACCGCTCAGTTTCATGCTAAGCAACAATGGTGTTGAAAACTGATACATGCACATGAGCTACACAACACAGAGCCTCACAGCATGGGCGCCTCACCTGGCAGCTCTATTGCCCGGCCCACAGCACCAGCATGCCTGCTATACACGCCTATGACATGCCTCCCCCTTTCCTCAGCCCCCGATGCACCGTATCTAGACACACAGCCCCACAGCATGGGCCACATACGCCTCTCCCGGCAGCCCTATTGTGGGCCCCACAGCACCAGCATGCCTGCCATGCACGCCTATCTCCCTCATCCCATGCAAGCCCCTGTCCACCAGCAGCACCAGATGCGCTGCATCTAGACACACAGCCCCACCGCATGGGCCACATATGCCTCCCCAGGGAGCTCTATTGCCCTCCCCACAGCACCTGCACCCCTCCCATGCACGCCTATCTCCCTCATCTCATGCCTCCCCCTATCCACCAGCAGCACCAGCGCAAACAGCCTGCCCCCCGCCACCACCACCTGCTTCAGCTGCGCCCCCCATAGTATCTCCCCCCTGCTGCCCCCCCCCCTGCCCCACCTGCCATCTCCCACACACACGCACCCTCTCGCCACACATCCTCTCTTGAGGGATCTTCATGATTGAGCTGCTGCTGCTGCTGCTGCTGCTGCTGCCGCCGCTGGGAGCAGGAGGGGCAAGGGGGAGTGCAGGGAGGGGAGTGGGGCTCTCCCTGAAGGACCAGAAGAGACAAGCTGTGCTGTACCGCTGCTACTGTAGCGCCACCCGCCCAGCCGCTTGCAGGGCAATGTCCATGTGAGCATGTGTCTGGTGATGGTGGATGCGGAGCATGGGGGCATGTGTGTCTGCAAGGCGATGGTGGTATCAGAGCCAGCATGCCAGCAGTAGCCAGGCGGTGGATAGGGTCACATGGGGGGGCTAGACCCCACACCCCGCTGCGCACGTTCAGCTGTAGCACGCTCCTCCCACCGCCATTGCTGGCTGTAGCAGGGGTTGTAGCTGAGGAGGGCGTGGGGTGGTCGGAGTAGCAGGTGAGGCGGTGGCGGTAACGCGCGTAGATGCGGTTACCGGCACGGATGACGTCGCAGCAGCGAGGGGAGATGGAGGGGTGCACTGCCGTCGTTACAGTCACGTTGGACACAGGCACGCTGGGTGTAGCCTCACGTGCAGTTGTGGGCACGTGTGCAGGTGAAGGGGATAAGGACGGAGATGTGGGCAGGGAAAGGGGGGAGGATGGGAAGGGAGATGGAGAGGGGAGAGATGAAGGGCATGCGGAAGACAAGGAGGGCGGAGATGGGGGAGAGGAGGAGATAGTGCCGGGGAATGTGGCGGGGGATATGGCGGGGGATGGGGAGGGGGATGTGGCGGGGGATGAGGGAGCGCCATGATCAGAGCAGTTGGCAGGGGTAGGAGAATCCCGAGGGTGAGTGGCAAGACCCACGTGTATGTAGGGGTTGTTGTGGGTGGGTAGCTCAATAACGGATGTTGTCTCACTCGCTGCAATGGCCCCAAACCCTCCTTCCTTCTCTCCCCCCTCCCCTCCTCTACCCCTCCCCTCACACCTCATCCTCTCCCCCTCCACTCCTCCCCCCCGTTGCCCCGCACCCGTTCCTGCGGCCCAAACATTCCCCCTTCCGCCCAGCTTTCCTCCTCCCCCGACCTCCCCCCCTCCCCCCACGAACAGCCTCCCTTCCGCCCACACCACAACCGGGTCCAACCGCCCCACTAACCCCCTGTGCCGCACTTCCACCCACCGCCCCGCCAGCCAGTCAAACAGCGACACGTGGCGCACCACCTCGCCTGAGCCCAGCACCACTCCCCCTGCGATTGCGAGCCCCCACATGGGGACGGCGGCGGCGGAGAAATGGCGGCTGTGCTGCCACCCGTGGGGGTTGTAATGAGGGAGGGGGGGCAACCGGCGCCACCGGCCGTTGCTCCTGGATTCGGAAGGCCCCGGCCCTGAGATTTCCGACCCTGAAAGCCCCAATCCTCCTGAAGGTCCCGATCCTGGGAGCCCGGATTCGTTGCGGCCGCTCTGGTGGCTGCAGGTTCTCCCGCTGAACGTCCATCGCGTTCCCTTGCTGCTGCCGCCATCGGCGCCGGTGGCGGCGGTGACGGCGGTGACGGGAGGGGTGGCGTTGGGGCACGCAGGCGCGGAGAGGTCGAAGGCGAACCAGTCAAGCCGGCCCGGATGCCGCCTGCTCGCCGCGCACAGACACACGTAGCCGCGCGAGTCGCCACGCTCGCCCGCGCACGCCGCGTTAAGCCCGTTATTGTCACATCCACTTCCAGATCCGCCACACCCCTCTCGCCCCTCGATACAAGAGCGCGCCTCGCTGTCAATGCAGCGGCCAGGGAACGCCTCCCCGTGCGCACAGTGCCCGGACGACCTCACCGCCGCGCTCCCCACATCTTGCGGCAGTACTCTCGAGTGCTGCGCGCCAAGCGCCTGCTCCCTCCGCTGCTGCAGAAACGCGTCGCTCGCGATGGCCGCCGCCCATCCACGCGAGACGCAGCGCGCGACCGCGAGGTCCCAGAGGCTAAGGCGAGACAGGCAGGCGACGCTGACGTCATCGGGCAGCGGAGGAATTAAGGCGGCGGGGGATAGATACTTGCCGGCCATGCCGCCTGGGTGTTGCAAAGCAGGGCAGATGAAAATGTGGCAGGAGAATCAAGTGGAAGGGGCGAAGTTGGTGACTGCTGACCATGTGGGCAAGTATGACTTAGTAGTGCAATACATGACTACCTGCATGAGTCAAAACGCACTAGTTTATATCCTGACTCCAGTCTCGTTTTGTTATTCTGTACTAAACCTGTTCATCGCATTAGCGAGTATAAGTGGATTTTGTGTTTTGCAGGTCGGCATTCTTTGGGTTGTTGACTCGTGTGTTGAGCCATGTCGCACATTTTCAACGCTCAGTCGGTGGAGCTTCGCTTCCGAAGCTCTCAAATAGCCTCGGCAATGTTTTCTAGTCCCCTATATCACGGGGGGCCCAGTTCGAGGGTAGTCACCTTCGAACGTTATGACCTGAAAGGTGGGCTTAGCATCCGCTGCAAAACGTTCGGACTTGGATTTCTAAACGAACGATATTTACGGCGCTAGATTTTCCAACTTTGGTGCTCAATTCTCTCGATGTCCACGACACTTGTCAAACAAGTGAAGGCGGAGTGGCTTAGGGCCCGAGCCCGTAGACACACGGGAATGATATCTGCGGACCCAGAAACGGCCAGGGTGACGACGCAAGTTCCCATACCCCTGTTTCCCGCGGTGAAAATGTCGCAGGCTGGGTGTATCGGTTGTTGAGGCCCGAACTTCAAGCCAAGCCTGAATACATCGCCAAGCCAAGCCACTAACCTGGTTTGATCCCCCCTCCCTTTCCCTCACCTCGACTCGCGACGCGGGACTCACCACCTATAATTTGCCCATCGCGACGTGTTTCATTCATCAAGCTCCACTGCCAGTCCACCTCATTGAAATCTGCTTGCTTCTCCCTTCCTGAGCACCGAAGTCACTCCACACTCCAGAGCTGCAGCACACGACCCCCCACCCAGTCTCCGAGTTCATCTCCCGTCACCACGATTCCAGCCATGGCGTGCAGAGCCCTCGTCCTCGCGTGCATCGTCCTCCTCGCAGCCACGCCCGCCTTGGCGCAGCGTGGTCCGCCTGGCGGAGGTCGACCCGGCGGTCAGGGACCAGGGGGGGCGCGCGGAGGCCCTGGCGGCCCCGGCGGGCCTGGCGGTGAGGGGCCGCGCGGCCCTCCGCTGAACCTGACGGCCGTCGGCAATCTGACGGCCGATGTTGGCGCGCGACTGGCCAACTGCTCCGCGGACCAGACGGTCCTTGACGGCCGCTTCCACCTCGCCATCTTCAAGTAAGCTTCGGCGCCTTCCTTTTTGTCGCCGCTTCCGCGACAAACCAACATTTTTGTTCCTTCCTTTCCTTTCCTTTCGTAGCTCGGAGTCGCTTTCGCACCAACCTACCCTTCGAAGTCGCTCTTTTGATCGTCCAGCTAATTGCTTCCGCCCTCTCCCCCTCTCTCCTCTCCATTGTCCCTCCCCCCCCTCTCCCCGCCACCCATTGCTTCCTCCCCTCCTTTATTCCAGAAACTCCTCCGGCAGTTACAACCTTCTGGTCGACGCGCTCCTCGTCGACGCCGCCGGCAGTCCGCCCGACTCGCTCGCCATCGTGCAGGGCGCCGTCTGCGACTCCGCGGCCACCGCCACGCTCGCGCTGCCCGTGGCGGCGTCCGACTGGCAGCAGCGCGCGGGCTGGTGGCTGCTGCACGCGGAGGCGCGGCTCGACGCGTTCCTCGAGAATGCCGACGCCGCCACCGTCGACGCGCTCCTCGCCATCCTCCCTAACGCCTCGCTTCCCAGCAAGAGCGGCAAGGGCAGCGGCGCAGCGGGCTCTGGGGGCGCGCGGAACGGGCAGGGGGGGAGGCGCATGGGGCTGAGCATGGGGCGGGAGCTGCTGATGCGCGCATTTGGCAAGCAGGGGGGAAAGAAGCAGGGGGGGCAGCAGCAAGGGGGAGCGCAGCAGCCGCCTGCAGGTGGCTTTTCAGGTGGATTTCCAGGTGGTGCTGGCGGAGTGAACAGCACAGTGAGCGGGTATGCTGTGCTGGCTGGCAGCAGCGCTGCAGGTGTGGCGTGGGGCGGGCAGCTCATGGGGGCCAAGATGCCCGCAGCTGCTGCAGCTTGATGCAGCCATGGCGATTCTCTCAGACCTGTTGTTGGTGGGCGTGAACCCAGGCACGCTGGCGATGCTGCTCCATGCAGTGTGGTGCTCCGTGGGAAAGGGGTATGAGAGGCCTTGGTGACCTGGCTTCGTTTCGTGCTCATGTGGGCTGTCTAAGGTACAGCATCAGGGGTAGGAATGCTGGCAAGTCATAGTACTCGACTCGCCTGACTTGCCAGTCTTCCTACCTTTGACTGTTTGTGGGTGTTGGGCTGAGACAAGCCCTTAGGATCTTTTGCAGAGACTAAGTCCAGCTGTAGAGACTTTCAGACTTTGAGTAGTGCAGCGGAAGTTTGAGACAGTTGAACCCTTGTACTAGTATGTGAGAACAAGTGATTGATTAAAGAAACAAGCATACAGCAATATATAGAAGGTAAGAAGGCAGTTGTAGAGTACAGTTATAGAAACGGTTTATCGAGTCGCACGGCGACTCGATTACCGCTTCGGTTACCATCCGTGATGTTGTAACGGTCAGTCGCAACCTCCAGTTGCGACCTTTCGTGTCTTCTCGTATTCTTTGTCCGCCCCCTCATGTAACCTCCGTTGACTCGCGTGCTCCCCTGTAGTCTTCCTCGAGTGCAGTGTTACACTTCAGAAACGCTTAAGTCCTTTGAGATATTTCCAACACTCCCCTTCGTTTCTGGAGTGTTAACGTGTTCGGGTTCGGTGACGTTTGTTTGCCCGGTCAGGAGCATGCAGTAGTCGAATTTTGCTTTCGCCAATTTCTTCGTCAGGTAATCTGCGGCCATTTCTGTCGTCGGGCAGTAACTGAGTTGAAGTCTCCCCTTCGCGATTTCGTCCTTGACGAAGAAGTACCGCAGAGCGATGTGCTTAGTTCGGTTGGCGAAGCCGTCCTTGTTCGCGATTTTGATCGCAGATTGGTTGTCGCAGAGGAGTGAAAAGGCGGGCAGGGTCGCAATCTTCGCTTCCTCGAGTAACTCTCGTAGGTAGAGTCCCTCCTTAGTCGCAGTACAAAGGGCGATATATTCTGCTTCAGCCGAGGATAGTGCGATTAACTCCTGCTTGCTCGACTGCCAGGAGATAGTTCCGATAGGTTCTAGTCGGTAGATGTAGCCCGTTCTAGATCGTCGATTTTCCCTGTCTCCCGCGTGATCGGCGTCGACGTATCCGAGTAGTCGTACGGACGGTGTTGTTGCCTTGCTGTAGGTGAGCCCGATCGTCGGCGTGGAGACGAAGTAGAGTAGCGCCCGATTGAGCTCTTCGAGATCTTCCTGTTCCGGCTGCTTCAGATGCGTCGCCAATTGACTCGCACTATAGGACAGGTCGGGTCGGCAGGTTACTGCTGCGAATAGTAGGCAGCCGAGCTTCTGTTGATACTCCTGGATTTGCTTCGCGGGGAGTTTTGCGGAGGCGCTGTTGTTGTTCCCGTAGCGGTAGGGAGTTGGGACCGCAGTCGGTGTTAGACCGAATTTCTTCGCGACGGTGCCAGAGTACTTTCCGGCGTGTAGGGAGAACGCCGTGTCGTCTTCGTCGACATTCAGTCCTAGGTACTGAGTCACTTCGTCGGACACCGTAAGCGTTAAGTCCTCTTTCAACTCCCCTTCGAACCAGGTGGCGATGTTGGTAGTGGAGCCGATGTAGAGCAGGTCGTCGACGTAGACGATGAGTAGGACATACTCGCTCCCCTTCTGCAGTCGGTACATCCCTTGGTCATGCGGCAGTTGTAGGAATCCGATTTTTGCGAGACGGCCGTGAAGGTGCTGCTGCCAGAGCCGCGGGGCTTGCTTGATCCCGTATAGGGATTTTGTCAGTCGGCATACTTTCGTGGGGTCGTCGATGAATCCGTGGGGTTGTTCGACGAAGATCTCAGCATCCACAGATGCGTATAGGAATGCGTTGGCGACGTCGATTTGGCGTAGTGGTAGTGTCTTCGTGGCCGCGACGGCGAGTAGGATGCGTAATGAGATGTGACGGGAGACTGGAGCGAAGGTTTCTGTGTAGTCAGTTCCATATCGTTGATCGAAGCCTCGTACGACCCATCGAGCTTTGAATCGTTCGATGGAGCCGTCTGAGTTGGTCTTGATGCATAACACCCATTTCCCCGAGAGGACGTTCTTCCCGTTGATGCTTGTTGCAGGTACCAGTTTCCATGTTTCTCGGTCTTGCAGAGCCTTTAACTCTTTTTCCATCGCTTCTTTCCATTTTGCCTTATGTTCCCCCCCCAGAGCCTGCGACAAGGTAGAAGGCTCACGCGGAGAAGGCGGCGGCGGATGCTGGACGGAGACCCAGAGGCCTAGGATCTGCAGTCCCGTGGGAGTGTGTCGAGGGGAATTTTCATTCCCGGAATAAGCTGCTTCGTCACCGTCTTCTGGGTCAGGTAAGAAGTTGGGACCGATGCGTTCTGAAACATTTGTGTCGACTGGGTGGGGTGTAATGTAACCTTGGTCAGCGAAGTGGTAAAAGGTATCGAGGTTGTTGCTATCGAGAGGATTGTCTTCGTCGAGTGGAACAGGTACGGAACAGAATGGGAGTGGTCCGGCAGCTTCCGAGGCTCCAGGTACGTCTTCTTCTGCTGCGTCAGCTTCGGCAGCATGGTCGGCGAAGGAACGAAGTCCCGAGAAGCCGTCGGTGGGGTCTTGTGTGTTGGCAATGTTGTCCAGGTAATGCTGCAGCGTCAGTCTCTCGTAGAAGATAACATCACGTGATGCCACCGTGTTTTTGTCTTGTATGTCGAGAATTTTCCACGCGTGAAAATGTTTGGCGATGCCGAGGTGTAGTCCCCACCGAGCTCGTTGTGTGAAGCGTCCTGCTCGGGCTGTGTGGGGTCTGTACTGTACCATGCAGCCGAAAACTCGGAGTAATTTTGTGCTGCCCCTTTTTCTTGTCCACAGCAGGTGCGGTGATGCGTTGTTGGGAAGCGATGACGAGGACAACAGGTTGTGCAGGTGAACGGCATGCGTCATCGCGTCTGGCCACAGTGTGGTGGGCAGCCTCATCCCCAGAAGCAGTTTTCGCATCGTCGTCTGCAAGGTCCGATTCATGCGTTCTGCGACCCCCTGCTGTTGGTGAGCGTAGGGCAGGGACACCAAGCGTCTGATTCCTCGTTCCGCCAGATAGGTCCTGAAGCGTTGTGACTGGTATTCCAGTGCACCGTCTGACTGGAAGCTCTTGAGTGTGAGTCCTGATTCTCGTTCGGCGATGGGAAGCCATGTTGTGAAGGCTTCGAAAGCTTGATCGCGCGTCTTGAGATTGAAGTGCCAAACGTATCTGGTTGCTGCGTCGATGAACGTGATGACGTAGTTGAAGTCGGCTTCGGTGTCTTCTCGAGGCATGTTTAAAATATCGCTGTAGACCTTTTCCATTGGAGCGTAAGTAGGTGCGCTTGGGTTCTGATGAGATGGGAAAGGTTGATGAGGAAGATCTGCTTCGGGGCACGTGAAGCACCGTGCTCGTGGTCGTCGAAGTTCTTGGCCGCTCGTCGTTAGAAGGGCGTTGCGTTCTAACACCTCTGCTTGGATTGTTTGTAGTATCGTGCTGTTTGCAGGATGTCCGAGACGTTGGTGCCAGATGTCGTCGGAAGCGCGATGACCAGGCGAGCGGTGGTAGATGTCGGCGTTGGAGAAGAACGCGACGACTGAGGCGGGACTTCGACAAACTTCTCGTGTGATGGGCATAAGCTGGTCTGCTTCGGTTGGCGGTCCTCGGGTCGCTGGTGGTGGGACTCGGCTGGGTCCTGCTGCCGATACTGCAGGTGATGGTTTGGTTGGGATACTTGCGGGTACTTGTCTTTCTTGTCTGATAACTGCTAATGCTCGTGTTCTCTCTGCTGCAGGTATGGTGTTGGAGTGCCAGAAGCCGTCACTGTCGAAGTCGGGATCAAGATCCGGCGGGTGAGTCCAGGCGGCGAACGATACGATACCGTCGCTGTCGGCAGTACCGCGGTCGGGGACGAAGTCCAACACGAAGATGCCGGACTTCAAGAGGGCACGACCGATGAAGAGTCCGCCCTTCCCGTGGTAAAGCCGAAACTCGTTGGAGTAAGAGTCGCACTCCAGGTGAATCCCCTTGGCCATTAGTTGGCTTACGCTTAGTAGGTTGTATCCCAGGTTGTCGACAATGAGCACTTTGTTGAGCTGAAGTATGACGTTTGTCTCCATGGATTGTAACTGAACCACGCCTTGTCTGTTTGTCTTCAGGTTTTCGTTGTTGGCGACGGTGATGACGACGTCGCGGTTGAGGCGTTTCTCCTGTTGCACGAAGCGTCCCGAGGAGCACATGTGTTGACCGCAGCAGCTGTCCAAGAACCAGGTGTTTCGCCCGGTGGGTTCGGCGTTGGCGACCACAGCGTATGTCGGGTTAACTTGAAGTCCCTGTGAGCGCGGCGGCGGTAGCTCTTCTTCGTCTGGCGCGTAGGTAGGTGGTGATCCGGGTGCGCAGTTGTCGATGTGTACCATGCAATTGATAATGTTTGGTGTTTGTTGTGCAGATGTTGAAGAGCGCCTTGGGGGACTTGCTTGGGTGGAAGCGACTTGTGGGTCTGCTGATCGGTAAACGCGTGGGCGGTTACAGTTGACCTTGGAGTGCCCGGAGGTCTGACAGTTGTGGCAGAACGGCGGCACGAAGGTGAGTCCTCTGTTGTCGCGTTGATCCTGCTTGCCGCGTCGATTGTAGTTATTGTCGTTCCTTCGTTGAGTGTAGAAAACTAACTGCTGCTGCTTTCTTGGTTGTCTTTCTTCGAACAGGTCCATCTCTTGTTGTTCAGCGTGAAGCTCGGCGCAGAGGTGCATCTCCGAGATTCTTCCGTGGGCGCGAAGTAGCGAGCGTGTGGTTCTCCATTCTGGCCCGAGCCCCGCGAGGACAAGTGTCACGAAGCTCTCTTCAGTGATTGTCCCTCCGCACCGAAGCAGGCGGTCGCGGAGGGTCTGGCAGCGACTCATATACTGCATCGCCTTTTCCCCGGTCTTCATCTGAATTGTTGTCAGTTGTTGCATGAGTCTGCTTTGTGTCACGCTGTTGTTTGCTTGGTAAAGGCACTTGAGATGGTGCCATGCGAGCTCCGCGGAGTTTCCATAGCTCCTGTATGTTCTGATGCTCTGCTGTTCTTGTGGTGACAGGTTTCTCAGGAGAACCGTATACGCCAGCAGCGACTGATACGTGAAGATTTCTTGTTCCTTTCCAGTGCCGTTGCTTGGGAATGGCAGGGACTCGTTGAAGTATCCCAGAAGATGCGCGGCCTCCATCAGCAGCTCGAACTCGAAGCTCCAGGTAAAGAAGTCGTGTCCGTTGAACGGTGAGGATGTCTGTAGCTTGATGACGTGTGAAAATTGCGCCTGGAGACTTAGAATCTCGTTTGGCGTTTGTTGTGATGCAGCTGCTGTTGGTTGGGCACGGGGCGGCATAAACTCGAACGTCCCCGGTGAAGAGTGATAAGGCGCAAAGGTAGGCGCTTGATTGTGTCGCCCAAACGACATCGGTGCTAATCGGTGCTAATCCCATGTTTCCTCCATTGCTTTGTGTTGAATGCGCAGGTGTCCTTGTCTGCTGCTGCTGGTCGAAATGCGACATGAAGCTGAAGAATCTTTCCATAAGGTTGGGGTGCACGCTTGAAGAGGGAGATGGAGTTACCATCTCTGGTACCCTTGCTGTTGTTTCTTGAGCAGTCCCGGTCTCTGTCTGCAGTCCTGAGGTGTGCAGACCAGAGTTGCCGTGTTGAGTTTCTTGGCCGCTGGGTGAGCCCGTAGAGACTTTCTTGCCCTTGCTGTCCATGTCTTGTAATCAATGAAGTTGTTGAATTTGAGCTAAGTTGCAGCTTTGTTGATGAAGCGCAGTTGCTGGGAGTTTGGTCTCTGACCAGCTCTTATACCATGTTGGGCTGAGACAAGCCCTTAGGATCTTTTGCAGAGACTAAGTCCAGCTGTAGAGACTTTCAGACTTTGAGTAGTGCAGCGGAAGTTTGAGACAGTTGAACCCTTGTACTAGTATGTGAGAACAAGTGATTGATTAAAGAAACAAGCATACAGCAATATATAGAAGGTAAGAAGGCAGTTGTAGAGTACAGTTATAGAAACGGTTTATCGAGTCGCACGGCGACTCGATTACCGCTTCGGTTACCATCCGTGATGTTGTAACGGTCAGTCGCAACCTCCAGTTGCGACCTTTCGTGTCTTTTCGTATTCTTTGTCCGCCCCCTCATGTAACCTCCGTTGACTCGCGTGCTCCCCTGTAGTCTTCCTCGAGTGCAGTGTTACACTTCAAAAACGCTCAAGTCCTTTGAGATATTTCCAACAGTGGGAGACTTTGTTAGGACACATTTTGATTGAGATTTATTTTTGTTATGAATGTCCTGCTTATGACTCTATACACCACCTCTAACACAAAAGGTGCCTCAAATAATTTCCTGTCTATGCATTAAGAAACACAAACTTCTATGGTAGTGGTGTGCGGCCCTGGCATTGCTTCATTCCCAGGCCAAGCGTGTCCGATTCCCCTTGCCCCTTCTCCTCTCATCCCTCACAGCAAAAGCCAGCTTCACAAAGTCCCTGAGCACAGTGTCGTTGCGCTCGCAGAACTTGCCCGCCCAGTCTGCCGGCTCCACCGCGTCCGTCCCCAGCCCCGCTATGAGGTCATTGCTGTTCTGCTTTGCTCCCTTCCAGTCTTTTGTGTAAGTGGCAACTCGCCGCCGGTACTTGGCCTTGAACTCGTCCCACACCTGATATGTGGGCAAAAGGATAGAGGAACGAAGAAGCGGGCATCAGAAGGAGACTCCACCGTATCCCTCCCCAGCCTCGCTATGAGGTCGTTGCTGCCGGAATTTGCTCCCTTCCAATCCTTGGTGTATGTGGCAACTCGCCGCCGGTACTTGGCCTTGAACTCGTCCCACACCTGGCGGGTACAGAGAGGCATGGGGAAGAACAGGGCACCCAGCTATTCACTTTCGCTCCCTTCCAGTCCCTCGTGTATGTTGCCACTCGCTGCTGGTACTCGGCCTGGAACGTGGCCCACACCTGGCGGGCAGCCATAGAAGTATGGTAAGAAACGCAAGGGGATGGGGAAAAACACGGCACCCAGCTATTCAGTCATTGCTGTCATGCTTTGCTCCCTTCTGCCGGTACTTGGCCTTGAACTCGCCCCACACCTGGCGGGCAGGCACACAGACACAATAGGAGACGGGAGGCAATGGGGAAAAGCGGATGGGGAGGGGCCAAGCATGCGGTCTTCTATAAGCCATCTGATTTCCTCGTAGTGATTCCCACCTGCAACTCGTAGTGGTCCATGTTGGCCCACCGCAACCTCCCTGAAAACACCTAGCTGCTGTACTTCTCTTCCCGCAGCTCAAACTGGTGCATGCGGCACAGCAGCAACTCCGCCACTGCCTCTGAGATGGCCTTTGAGTCGACTCTAACCTCACCACACAAACCTCATCACTCTAACCTCATCACTCTAACCTCATCACTCTAACCTCATCACTCTAACCTCATCACTCAAACCTCATCACTCTAACCTCACCACTCCAACGTCACCTGTTCCACTTAACTTCCACCCACCTGGAACTTGTAGTGGTTGATGTTGGCCAACCGCACTCTCCCCGAAAACACCTGGCTGCGGTACTTCTCCTCCCGCAGCTCGAACTGGTGGATGTGACAAAAAAGAGAGTCCGCCACTGCCTCTGGCCGCACAAACGACTTGTGGCGGTCGGGCTTGCGTGCCCGGCACGTGTACCCCACAGATACCCCCTGCTGGGGATGCTGCGTTAGGCCTGAGGGCCCGAAGTCCACACAGGGGAAGGAGATTTGCCCCAGCGGTCGCACGTCGTCCGCTGCTCTTTCCTTCTCCATGCTGGCTCCTGCCGTGCTGTCACTCTCACTCTCACTGTCACCTTCTGGCCACTCTCCCTCCGAGTCTGTCACACCAAAGCCCTTTTTGCTCTTCTTCTTCTTTATCCCCGACTCCTCCCCTTCTTCCTCCGCCTTCGCATTTTTCTTGATCCGCTTTCCTTCACGTCTGTCACTTTCCTCGCCCTTTCCTTTCTTCCTTTTGATCGTCTTATCCCCTTCACTTGTCTTGCCCTTCTTGCTCTTCCCGCCTGTTTTGCCCTTCTTGCCCTTCCTCAACCCCTCGCTGTCATCCGCACCAACAAACGCATCACCACCAGCAAGACGTCTCCGCACAGCTCCTCCCACGCCTCTACTCCCCCTTGCATCTGCAGCACCTTGGATCTCTCCCCCCCCTTCCCTCTCCCGCTCTGCCACCTGCCCCTCCTCCCCATTCCCCCCACCCACTGCCTCCCGCCTCCCCCCACCCGCCATGCTCCTCTGCCCTTCCCCACCCTCCTCCCCCTTCTCCTCTCTCTTCCCCCTCTCCCCCTCCCCTGCCACCTTCCTCGCGACCACCTCCTCAATCTCCCTCTCACTCGCCCGCACCACTCTCCTCAGCACATGCGGAATGAACGCGCCCTTCTCCCGCACCTCACTGCTGAGCCCCTTGCGGCCCTCGGCAATGTGCGCAATGAACTTGGGGGCGACGAACTCGTCCACGTCGATGAACCCCACCCACTCGCACTGCTGCGCTGCCCGCAGCACGCAGTGCGAGAACCCCGCCTGCTGGGCCTTCACCCACGGCCACGGGTGGAGGGATACCATGGGGGATGGGGATGGGGGGGAGGAGGAGGAGGAGGAGGAGGAGGAGGAGGAGGAGGAGGAGGAGGAGGAGGAGGAGGAGGAGGAGGAGGAGGAGGAGGAGGAGGAGGAGGAGGAGGAGGAGGAGGAGGAGGAGGAGGATGATGAGGAGGAGGAGGAGGAGGAGGAGGAGGAGGAGGATGAGGAGGAGGAGGATGGGTATTCTTGTGATAATGATGCTGCAAGGCTTTGGTTGTGAGTGGAGCCGACAAAGCCCGCCCGCACCCACCACTGACCTCCCTCACTCCCCACCTCCTCTCCTCCTGCCAGCCCCGCTCCCCCTCCCCCTCCCCATGCTGCCGCCTCTGACGCCGCCGCAACAGCAGCCTGGCCGGCCGGCGTGCCCAGAACAAGACGGGCGCCGCCGTCCACTGCAAGGCTGGCGATGACAGCCGTGGTGTTGTCCTCACTGTTGTTGTCGTAGAGGAAGATGCGATCCACGCCCATCCAGTGGTGGTATACCACCCACTCGCGCAGAAACTTCCCCACGTTAAAAATCATCGTGCACACGCACACAAAGTGCGGCTTTTCCCTCCTCCTCCCCCCCCTCCCCTGCATGCTGCTTTGACCCCCCGCTCCCTCTCCAGCCTCCTTGCCTGCTCCCCCATCCCCACTCCCTGCTCCCTTTTTCTCGCCGTTGCCATTGCCACTGGCACCTTCGCTGCGTTCATCAACAAGGCCCTCCACTCCCAGTCCACCCTCCTGTTGCGCCTGAGACGCGGCACCAGTGCTGCTTTCCTCCAGGCCCTCCGGGTGGTCAAAGGGGTCAACGGGGTCGAAGAAGGCTACAGATGGGAACAGGCGCCCCTCATACTCCACTGTCACTGCCCGCATGGCCACAGGCCTGCTCTGAGCCACATGACTGGCCGCAGCGTTGACACTCGCACCACCCTCACCGCTGTCATTGCCACCAGCTGCAGCAGCAGCAGCAGCAGCAGCGGCAGCATGGGAGGGCAGCGGGCAGAAGACCACCTCCATCGCAGCAGCCACCGCAGGCACCCGCAGCAGCCCCACCTCCTCTGCCCGCTCATTGCTGCTTCCGCTTTTGCCACCTCCCTCTATCCCCCCATCAACCCCATGAGCCCCATAGACGCACGTGACGTTGGCCAGCACCGGCGGCTGATGCGGATTGGTCTGCAGCCCCCTCACGAACAGATACACGCCCTCGCGCCCCTCTGCCTCTTCCCCCACTGACCTCCGCACTGTCACTGCCTCGTACACTAGAGGGGGCAGCCTCTTCTTGTGGTTCAACGCCTGCCACACGGCAGAGCCGCCCAGCCGCCCGCCTGTTTTGTCTTCTAACGCCACTTGCACACCCTTACTGCTGCTGCTGCTGTTGTTGCGTGTGGTTGCGGCTAGCCTTGCTATTTCCCCTTGAGGCCGAGCGCAGTGCACGTAAACCACACCAGCAATCACCGCAGTAGTGGCCCCAGCAGTCCCCCCAGCAGTCCCCCCAGTAATCATCCCAGCAGTCGCCCCTCCCACCTGGCCCTCCGCCGTCGCTCTCGTTCCCTTCGCTTCGCCGCCCATGCTCTCACCTCCCGCCCCCTGCTGCCCCGCCCCGGTGTCCCCTCGCTGCTCTTCCGCCATCCCAGCAGCCGTCAGCCGTCTCCTGCTGCTGCCACCCTTCGCCCTTTCCGTCCCACCCCTGCTGCTGCTGCTGCTGCTGCTGTCGCTGCTGCCCCCACTGCTGGTCGCACTGCTGCTGGAGCTGCTCCCCCCCCTGCTGCTGTTTCTTTGGTCGCTCACGTCGCCTGTGTCGCCCATGTCGCTCATATCGCCCATGTCGTCCACGTCGCCCACAGCGTCGAGCCCATCGGCCGACACCTGTAGCACCCGCGTGCGAGCAGTCGACGAACCTTCCCCGAAGTTGCAATCCATCTCCTTTATCCGCTCTAGCTGCTCCCGGGACACCAAAGCCCTGCTGAACCGCGCGTTCTTAGAGACGTTCTTAGAGGCTACCTCAGAGGATCGTTCCCCAGCTGCAGCTGCCACGACGGATTCCAGCGCATCAGACGTAGCCAGCGGCCGCAGCAGAAGGAGGATAAAGTCCGGGAGGTCGACTGCCACGTGGACAACCAAGTCTGCCGCAGAAACGCCCCCGCGATTCCCGTTTGTCCCGCTTTCCCCACTGATCCCATTCTTCTCGTTATTCCCGCCATCCCCGCTCCCCTCGAGAATATCGCTCTTCCCGCTCGTCTTGCTCTCCCCGTCCCCGCCGCTCGCGGCATGCAGGCTTCCGAACCCAAAACGGTCCTTCGCTCGCGCGCCTCCCCTAGCGAGCCGCTCCACCTCCATCCACGTCACCCCCCCTCCTGCGACTCCTGCGACTCCTGCGACTCCTGCGATGCCTGATATGGTTGGATTCACCGTTGTATCTCCATTGCCTGGTAAATTACTATCGCTGATTTCGTCTCTTGCGTCGTCGCCTCTCCTTCCCGCCAACACCAACCACACTAGGAAAAACGTCAGCACAGGTAGGACTACAACCGCCGAACCGAGTCGCAGCTGTAATATTAAAGCCGCGAGACGATGTACCAAGCCCTCCCGCTTTCCCCGCGGCTTATGGTACAACGGTGCTGGCGCATCGCCGCCGTTAGGCGTGCCTAAACGGGAATCAGGCGCGCCTGAGCGCGAGGTTGCCTTCGAGTTCTCGTCTGCCACGTCGCGCCTGCTGCTCGCCTGCGACACCGCGGACGCACGCTGCGCGATCTCCGCGAGTGCGGAAGACGGCGACGCCCGCATGGCCGCCGTTTAAGTCGCGCTACCTGACTGTGGACTGACTAGTTGTGTAAAACTGGCCTCCTGAATCATGGTCTAACCAAGACTCACACACATCTCGTCTAGTCACTGCAGTCCAGTGGCAGCTCCAGTCCAGTCCAGTGACCACTGAACTGCACTCTGGTTGGCTCCAGTGTGGTTGTGGTGGAGGAAATCCCGAGATGAGCAACAGACAGGCGTCAAGAAATGGTGGGAAGAAAAGGCGGGAAGCTTGGTCGTAGTATCGGGCCTCGAGGGTGTCAGTGATAGGCTGCGGTATAAAAAGCAGTGTATCCGCATGCCTAGCTTAACTTATCATCAATGTGCATAAATATGAAGAGCTTTAAATAATATGAATAGAACACTCACATAAAATACTACGTAAAAATTGTGGTTGCTTACTACAATAATGGCAGAAGTAATATCCCCGTATATATATATATATATATATTTATTTATTTATTTACTGAAGGACCATGATTATGTGGAATCCGTGAGAGTTTAAGTCAACAGACTACTTGATCATTGTACTCTAAGAACAGTTTGATATAACGATTAGTGCAACATGTATAAATTCCGCAAGAGGTGCTTATGCTGAAGTAACCACTTTAAGAAGTACCCAACTGAAGTACCTTGCTTGAAGGTTAAGGCCTGCTGTAATACAAATAGTTGAGGTTTCGTGTGTTGAAATGTAGGCTATGTTAATGTGATGTGGGGTCTTCCATATTCTTGTGGAGCTACAAGTAAGGAGCATGGAAAATACCTTTACTCCAAGCCATTTGTTCCAACTAGAAAACAAGAACCCACACATAATGCTCTCCTTGTGTACCTTGCTCTATCCAGCCCTATACATATGTACACTCTTCTTCCCCTTTCAATGTCCACATCTTACCCCATTTTTCGGTGTGAGCTGGGCAAGTGAGGCCCAGAAGGGGAGATATCGGAGCACCACCATTTGGTCCCACTCACTGCCATGGTGCTGGCTGCGGTTTTGGCTGAAACAAAGAGGGAAGTGAAGGAAGGGGAAGGAAACGAAGGAAGGGAAAAGAGCTGAGTGGAAGGGCATGAGGAGAAACATCACTGAGCTGCACAGTAGTAGTAGTGTACAAGGAGCATAAAGAAGAACCCCATGTTCAAAACAAGTAGCTCCCACGTTGCATGGGTTTACTTACGTGAGACATGTACACATTCAGAACGAGTGCGCCATAAGTAGAAAATCTCACCAAAGGCACATGTGTTGAAGATATATCCATTGGCGGCCTAAACAAAGGGTTGCTTGGTCTTGTTAGGAATGGAGCAGTCGCTTAAGCTACTGCTGCTCTTTGGTGTGGCTCGGCATGTGAGCTGGATGCACGGGTTCATACATGGCTGTAGGCCCCATTGCCCCAAAAGCCCCTCGGGCTGCAAGGATCCATGGGAACTAGGGGGTGGCCGGCGGAAAGCAGAACGGGTTAGTGGAAGCGGGTGGTGGGGAGCAGGATGAGTACGCAGTGTGAGGTGCTGCAGGCTGGAGCAGAGCAACATGCGTTCTTCTTTGGCTTTGTGGCTTCCACTACCGTGAAGCCTTTTCAAAAGTGTGTCATTCTCAATTCTGCAATGCACACTAGCAAGAACAACATGTACTATTTAAATATTGCAACGGAAATGATGACGGTAAGCGATAACAAGAATGTGAGTTATGGCTATCAGTGACAATTTTTGGAACATATCACATGGAAGGTGCGGGTCATGGTGGTCATGCTGGTTATCCTGGAAATGGTGCTCTGCTGGCGTTTTGCCCAAATAGTGTCTGCATTGTGCCATCCCTTGTGTCTTTGTTGGCCATTCTTCTCATAGGACTTCCCATTTTACGCAAGCCTTTCACCACTAGTCAAGGTGAGATATTGCTGCCATAAGCACTAGTCAAGGTGAAATATCTCTCTGCCCACGGTCACAGTTGCCGCCAGATTAAATAGATAAGTCAAGGTACTGTCACTGCCGGCTGGCCGGCATGCCAAGGTGGTGGCCCTCTTTTATTGTCTTCACTTCCACTAAATTTACCTTCATGCTGCCTCTGTCCCCCCCCTCCCCGATTCCGCATTGGCCCTCTCTATAGTGCCCTAGGCCTCTACTTTCTACTAGTCACCTTCCCAAATTTCCCTTGTTCAACATTCACATCCTTGGGTTTCGCTGACCTATCTTGAAAGCATGGCTTTCTTGAATTCTTGCCTTTCTAAAATTCATGCATTTCTTGAAGTCATGCATTTTTTATATTTGCCGCTTTTTTTCTCCAAACCTCTAGCATGAACCTGTCAGTTGAAGCGTACATGCTAGCATGGGTCAAGCTTACTGCACAATGTGAGTACAGAAAACTGTGTGCATGATACCGCTTTCTGACAACCTACTTGTGCTCCAGCTGGAAGGTGCAGAACATAGCATGATCAATCCCTAGACAAGGATTGGTTGGATGTTACATAAGACTACCATATAGCTCCACACGTAAGATGATGAACTTGGAGCGATTGTTTAGAAGGATTTGATTGGCTGCGATTCTCCACGAAAGATGCTGCGATTTATCTTGCCGCTTATGACCTAGTTTAGCAGAGAGGCATGAACAGTGCGACTCTGGGTAATGCTGAAATGGTATGACAAGGGTCGCAAGCGACGTGGGCAGCAAGCAGACCGTTCTCTCCCTGTCGCAGAGCATGATAAGTCTTCCTCTTTTTGAGCCTCCTTATCTCAATGGCGAGGATGATATTTGCTTGCCAATTATAGATACCATTAGTGCTGAAGAAGTTGACTCCAAGAATGAAGCCATTGTGAAGGCTTGGCAGGCTGAGCGCGGTAAGGGAAAATGGTTGGATTTTCGATTGACATGAATGACGAAGCTCGTTATGCTAGTGATTTTGATGATTCCTCTGGCGAGGAGTGTATTCTTGCCGATGAAGGGACATCCTCAAGCTGCAAAGCAGGGGGCAGCCATTGTTGCCCACATTCACAACGTGTCACCATCTGCTGAGCTCCTCCTCTTTCCGAGCGCCGGCGAAGGCGCAAGCATGTCGAGACCTCCATAGGCTGGGCAGATCCTGCTGACGACAAAATTCCTATGGCTAAGCAACACATTGCCAGTCGATTCAGTGAGCATTGGAAGCGGTTGTATCCATGGTTGGACCTGGAGTACTGCTCTAAGGGTAAGAAATATGGCCTTGCATTCAGTGGAGTGAGGACAGTGGGCATACACGTACAGCATGAAGGGCATTTGTGCTCATGATTTCCAACTCTCCAACATATGTACTCATCAGCACCCGAAGGCACACCTTCTTGCCCTTGCTTAATCCTGGATTGACAAAGGCACTGATAAGAGACAGCACACCACGGAGGAGTACGGAAATGATGACGCTATCACCCGCGGACGATAAAGTGCATCCGGATAGCATACTTCGTGTGCCACAATGACTGCCCATTGACCTTCTACCGCATGCTGCCACGGCTCATGAAAGTGGAGGGCATGCTAGACATGAATGAGTCGGGGGTTTCGTAGTCCTACCTTTCATAGAACATGGCTCTGTTCCTAATGTGGTAGTATGCACTCATTGTTGCTCCATTGCCCTCTTGCAAGCTCTTATTGTTGTCTCCCCATATGATTCCCTATGGACAGTTATGCTGTTAATGAGTTTGTACAACCTATCGTACAATACCTTTGAGAGAGGCGGCTGGAGGCTATTATGAAAATCCGCTTCTATGGGCTGCCCGTCGATGGGTTAAACTGATCGTGCACACGGCAACCATATGATCGTAGACATCACCTACGAGAGGGCGTTGGAGGTGGTGAACGAGTTCTTGGCACTAATTCATGTGAAAATGTGTGATGCAACTTCCCTCTTTGGGCCCTCTCAGGATACCTGGAAAAACGTGGAACCCCCCTCACCAGGCTCGTTGGCATCTTGACTAACGGGGCATCCAAAATGGTTGGCCACACCAACGGCCAGGTAACCCGCCTTCGTCGAGTTGCCCCATGGCTAGTCACTGTGCATTGCATTGCATTGCACACCGGTGAATAAGGAGGCGCATGCCCTGTTCGTTCACATGTGTGGTCTTCCATTGAAGAGCAATGACATGGGTTGGTTATCTTACTATTTCTATCTCTACTCCAATCCCCTTAAAAAAGTATGGAGGCACTAGCAACTAAGGGCGTGGCCTCCAATTTTCTAGATGCGGGCATCATTGACACCACCACTAGCAACAAAGCCAAGAACCAGCACAGATCTATTGTGCAGCGGAATGTGTTCATGAGATTCTAGAACGAGATGCTGCACAATAATCTGGAGCTGCACGGAATACATATGGTGTGGTGGATGTTGCGGAAAATGCCATCAAGCGGCTTTGCGATGTGTTTCCTGAGTTCCTATGGATGTAGAAGCAAGACGATCTAGATCAGCTCAACAAAGCAATATCACTGAAGTTCCAATTCATGCTTCACATGCTTGTGGATGTGCTGGAGCTGTAAATGACCAGAACCTGAGTTCCAAAAGCATCGGGTAGGGACGCAGACATCCCCTGAACTCCCCTATGTTGTTTTGCCTTCCCTGCCCTATGCTGTTTTGCCCATCTCAGTTTTGCCCTATGCTGTTCGAGGAAGTACCGTAGCTGGATATGCTTCACTCTGCCCTCTAGTCAAGGCTCCTGACACAGGAGGATCATGGCCCTGTTGTCATCAAACAGGACAGGGGCAGAGCTTGGCCGCTCACCTAAGTCTATGTGCAACAAAGTTAGCCAGCGAAGCTCTTGTGGCGCCATGGCACCAGCCTACATCTCAGACTCATAGCTAGACTGGGAAATAGACGACAAGTGGGTGGACCTCCAGAAGATGGCGCCTGCACCAAGGCTAAAGCAATAGCACTGGGAGGACCTGAGTGTCTCAGCGTTGTCGGCCCACAAAGCGTCTGTGTGCCCTGTAAGGACCACTGGCCTGCCCTCCTAGCATGAGCCCCATGCCCGATGTACTTGCTAGATAATGCAAAACCCTCTTATCGGCCGACCAGTGCTGTGGTCGGTGTCTGCCTGTCGCCACAAAGCAAGCTGGGATGCTGAGAGGGTATGCGAGATCTGGACAAGTGCAAGTCATCAGGTACATGAGGCAACCCACCAGCTCTGCCAATGGGCCACTAGGCTCTACCGACTCC